AACCTAATAAGATAAGATAGTCTAATCTACTAACTTAATAAGATAAGATAAGAATAACAAGATAGTCTAATMTAATMTGCYGAATGGRTAAGACTGTTGCTGCCGAATTGGATAGGATGAGAACACCGGATCATTGTTGCTGCTGCTCCCAATATGCGTCCACATCATACAATGTCGGCTACATGAATCCTGTTTCGCTATTCCATTCTGTTCAGTGCCATATCCAATCCTCCTGAGTCCATTTATTTGCTAAAACCTCAGACAACAAAACAACTGTAAACTTTTTTCTACTTTGATCCAGTGAATGAAAAACATGGTAGAGTTCTCAAGAGTCATTCATTGAACCATTCTCATCACTACATAAGACATTGTGACCATCTGTGAACTAATATTGAATGCCTCCCAGCTTTTGGACTAATCTCACTGTTATAGAACATAACAAGAAAAATTAATGGTATTGGAGCATAGAATGTTAGCACAACAGTAAACTACTATATTCAGAATCATGAAGACCTGGAATACGGGGGAGAGATGGCCAATCTGCGTACTCATTATCATTGATGCAGAAACATCTACAATACAGTGCACCATGAACTGCAAGATGCCACAAGGACTGTTTATTCAATTTTTCCATCATCTTGTGGTAGATGTAAAGGAGAAAGCGGACATCATCAGCAGCTGCACGGACCATCAGTTCAGACAATGGCCTGTATGTCCAAAATTCAGGATCCTGAAAATGTATACAAGGAGATATATCAATCCCAAGCAAGCAGGAAGATGTAGCCAATAACATCATAAATATACCAATTGTATAACCAGTATCCTCAAAATTCTGCATCCAGCTACAAGGAAACAAATCAGATAAAAATTTGAAACAGGAAAACAATGTAACCGTGATTGAACTGCTAAGCTTAATATTTTTGCAAATACATTTCATGTGGTTCTTAATTTCTTGTCCTTTATACACTTCTGATCTGGCTCTTCTGGCTTTCAACAACATATAGGTATTTAAATATTAGTTCAGTTCTTTTGCCTGAAGTTCCTAGAAATCAGGGCTAGAATAAGTATCCCTTCCATTTCAAAAAGACCAATGGCGGGTACATTATAATAATGAGGTAAGGACAGGTTTGACTTCCACAAAAACAAACAAGAAGGCACAGGAGGCTTTGATTAACTCAATCACAGTTAGGATGGCACAATTGGTGGGAGAGAGAGAGAGAGATTAGGGATTTCAACATAGATGACATCATTAAGGAATGCTTTAATGTGTTGTCATCCTCAAGTACAATATATGTTGATCTTATATGATCATATCAGAGAAATTGATCTTATGCTGACTGTACATTTTGCTCATATCATATACAGAATCAGCTAGCTCAACAGCTGAAATGGGGGTATGGGTTGGAAAGAGTAAACTGTATTTGACGAATGCTTGTCCAAGTTAAATCTTTATCTTGTACTGATGGTTTACTCTTTTCTATCAATAATGACAGCCAAAAGAGTGTTATTAATGTACTGATGTTTATTGGCTGCATACAGTAGAAAAAGTGAGAAGATGGAGTAGAGAGAAGAGAAAAGAATTGAATTACTAGAGTCTGGGGTCTCTTTCCAGTTTGCTGGTACGTATAGATATCTATTCTAATAGTACAACAATTGTTCTGCTCCTAGTAAGTGTGGGACAAACTTAGAACATAACTTAAAGTATAAGTTAAAATAAAGTGACACAAATGCCCCTATGCCACATGCCTATACTCTTAACAATTAAAAACAAAACTGTGAAGAAAACCACAATGTTTGTTCATGTTATATGTTGCTTCTATTGAGTTTTTTCTTGTGTCCCATTGTCTTTTTTGGTGGGATAAACAATTTGTACTTTCTCCTTCTCTTTCTTTCATATATTTCCAAATCATTGATCAGTGGGAAGTATAAATCACCAACTCCACCAAGCAACATTTATATACTTGGTTGGTAGAGTAGGCAACCCATCCATGAGAGATACCCATGCCATATGAATTGCCTCTAATATGGATAATGATATTCACGTTATAATGACAACGTTGGTAATGGGGATTAAAATGAACATAATTAAAATTATTAAGATGGCCATCCATTAAGCAGTCCCTATCTCTTTATATGTTAACAGAAAGTCTAATTTGTAGTAGATTAATTATCTTGTGAAGAAGAAAATATCAAGTGGTTTTCTAGGATCACAACCCAAGAGAACATTAAATCATTCTTATTTCAGACAAATTTTGTTATTTCAGATGGAACAAGTTACCATAATGCAGTTACATTCAAAACAAAGGGAGACTTCAAGCTCACCTGTCTAAGAAGCACACGGACTTCTTGCTTCTCAATATATGATATACCTGCAACACATCCCCTAAGTGAAAACACATGTAATAATACATAATAAGAGTCATGGGGAAATGAAAAGAGATGTAGCAATGAATATAATGTTTGTCAAGTATTATTGGTTGAAAAAGCATCAATGACACAATAAAATATGATATAGAGAAGCACCCAATGAATTGTGCAATACCATTTCAACATTCAATGACATGAACCTGTAATAAATTCAAGAGCATCCAACTAAGTTTTATGAAGAGAAAGAGCTCCATAACATCCTTCTATTTAAGAACTTGGTAAAAAAAGGAAAGCTACTGCTGCCTCAAGACAAGGGTTGTAGGATTTATAGGATATGGTAGCCAAAAATAATGCAACTTTGATATTCTTCTATTAATTTCTTTTTCTTCCTTGATTTTGGTGCTTTTATTGGTCATCAGTAATTATCTCCTGAGTATTTCCACCTCCTTGTTGTCTGCTTTGATCTTTCATAATATCTTTCAGTTATCAGAGAAAATGTTTGGCATTAAAAGAAGCTGGCGTAGGATGTTTCTCACTTTACACATAACTCTGGTTTTCTGTTGGAAATCCCAGAGCTGACATCAATAAAAATAAAAATTAACATCAAGGGGATAAAAGAAGCTTTCAGTTATCAGAGAAAATGTTTGGCATTAAAAGAAGCTGGCGTAGGATGGTTCTCACTTTACACATAACTCTGGTTTTCTGTTGGACATCCCAGAGCTGACATCAATAAAAAAAAAATAACATCAAGGGAATAGAAAATAAGCATTTTCTGTGAAACTACAAAAAAAAGACCACAAGGAGATTTGAATAAGAAAATAGTCAATCAAAAGCAAAGCCTTTGCCCAACTATTTTGAGGTTGAGCACACTAAACATTACCTGTCTTTGCACTCCAAAATCCCATGGATAATCTACATGCTCTTACCTTTTCTCACTACCTCATCTGACAACCTTCATGCTCTTACCCTCGTGCTTCAGTGCCTTTATCTTGCACCTAATCGCCCCCCCCCCCCTAGATGTCCAATGTTTGCTCATCTTTTTTTTTATAAATAGAAGATTTTATATTAATGAAAAGGAAGGAGAGGTTATCTCAAAGCAGAGAAACAATGAATTATTGCATCAGTTGGAAATACAACAGAAACAATTGCATAAAAACACCAAATAAACAGCAAAAATCCAAAAGAGAATACAGCTCCACTGATATCTGATACTATCCAATTTGAATCCACCAAACTGCTCGAGGATCCCAGCTCTTTGAACCAATGTCTGATTGATTCCACCAATCACTTCCCCTGCCGTAGGTGGCTTCGAAGCAAATATCATATCATTCCTCTTTTTTTTACATAGACCAACAGAGCACAAGAGAAGTCAAATACCAGCGTATATTTACTCTTGCACCGAAACCAGCCAACTGCGGTAGGGATACCAAACTTGGTAAGTCCTCCAGAAGTACCCATCAACAGATAACCAAATATATTTAGAAAGTAGGACTAAATCTCATAGGTATAGTCAGAGTGGATTAATAAATGCTTGACAGATTCCAGGAGTTGACCCTCAGCTCCAAACCAATTGGGATCTAAGACCTGTTTGTAACCACTATCTGAAGTTTGATGTAAGTTGTAGAGTGGTCCTTGGGGTCATGTGCAGCCATTGCTTCTTGAAACTGATTCAAGAAATGTGATTGGTTGGGCTTCTAGTAGTGATTGTGGACCTTGTAGACTTTCACTTTCTGAATGAGATCCAAGAGCTTGCTGTAGATCTTTCTTACACCTATAGATGGATACCAAGGGATTTGAATTCAATGGTTGATTCCTTATCTAAATGACTAAATCTGGGGTGGACATGGATCTTTTGTATAGTGCTAATTCATTGTCAATGTAATTAGTTTGGGGCACCTTTGGTTTTGTACACCCCCCCTCCTCTTCCATATTTTTTGCTAAGCACCAGATGATGTTACACTGGAAAGAAGAAATCAAATTCAAAAGTTCGAAAAAGGTAAACGTAAAAATAAGTAAAAGAAAAAGGTGGGGATATCAGGCATTACTACTTTCCTATAGAACAAAGAAGTGGCCATTTGTAGTGTTCCTCCAAAAACTAAGTCAAACTTTTCTAAATGGAGAAGTCTCGGAATCATAAATGTGAAACAAGGCCAGCAATAAATATTGACATAGGAATGACATATTACCACAATAGCGTGGATCTGCAAGTAGGCTAACAAAAGAAATGTAATCATATGGTGATCTTGTCCTTCCTTCTTGCTCCTCTATCAGGGAATATGCTATCTGCATGACAAAGACCACTGGAAATATCAAACTTTAAAAGAAAATCCCATTCCATTTAGCATTCATTATACAACTGCTTCCTAGACAGGTGAGATTTTCTTACCAATATGAGCAACTTCAAGCAAAATGATTATGGTAATTGAGCACAAAAATAATAAGATCTTGAATAACATAGGTAGATAGATGAAAGTGCATGCTACAATCATGATGCATGACCTTGGTTTCCTGCCAAACCATTAAGGCCTAAGTCCTGACTGAAAGGGTTGTCTTTTGTAGCTTAGAAAATCTAGTTTCCACTTAAGAACAATTAAATGCATAAGTTGTTTCAGTTTCCCCTGAATGTTGAGCCAATTTGCTATAAACCAAAAGTATATAAAGCATGATTCACAGAAGAAAAGTCAAATCCATCCACCTGCAAACCTCTTTTGCAAATGGATGAAGATTCTCAAACACCATCTCAACTTTGGACAACCATATTTCAGACCAAAAAAGTGGTCACCACCCTCAATTAAAAGCAGTCCTTACTGACCAGCTACTTCAAAAGCACTTTGTCAACATTGAATAAATGTGTTGAAAACTTGTGCTCTCACTGACCTGGAGTATGGAGACAAATAGGCAGTGTTACAAACAGTAGGGAATGCCCTCATTAGTAGTTTGTGTTTCTTTCTATCAGCTGACATGCACCCAAATGTGGAAGTGAGCTGATTATCAGTCGCCAAGAAAGGCTTAAATCATTGGAACCATATCTAGCATCAGATCCTGGTCATCTATCCACAAGGAATTCAGGAGACTTCCAATCAGGGGCCTTCTTAGTTACACTATTTTTATACATAATATAGATACCATATTACATGAGCATTAGCAGTGCCCTGATGCATAGCCTATACATAGGCATACTTTAATTACATTTATTTTTTAGAATGAAATACATTATACTTTACCTTAAAAAAAAGACAGTACATAAATGAGGTGGAATTGTTTAATCAAATGAGGAAACAGCACAACTGAAGTGGAAGGAAAAGGAAGTTCTAGAATAGAATCATTAAAAGCCTCTACTTCCTAGAGATACAGACCGTTCTTTTAATGGCTACTTATAGATAATAGTTCTTTCCATTGGATGAAAAACAAATGTACAACACCAGAAGGCTTAGAGAAGAGCCTTGTTCCTCCATGCAAGAATTATAATGGTAATTGACAAAAAGTATAGAATTAATAAGGTAGCAATTTCAACCATAAATGCTGCAAGTAGTCATGAGGCTTACCTGAGTATCAACAACATTGTGCAATTTTATGCCAAATTGAAAATACAAAGCCTGAAAAGGAAAATAATATTCAAGAGAGTCAGAAAATATAATAGTATAACTAAACCATGTACACAGAGTGGTACGAGTAAATATAATCAATTAGAGACCTCACTATCACGTTTGCAGTCATGAATGACTTTTGTGATGTAACTAGATTCAAGTGCAGGCTTACAGGCTTTCATAAGCATCTCCCCACCCTGAACAGCATCAACCAAATATATAGCATCTGGAAATGCAAGCTGACAAAAACAGAAAAATCTTTAATTGATAATAAAACAAAAATCTCATAAGCAGTATAAACATATTAACAAGCAAGAGTGATGAAATATACTACTAAAGTTCTTGAGAAGCAGAGAATAGAAGGTACATCATAATATATGTATACGACATACTGCTCTAATAAATGCAGATAAAAGATATAGGATTTGGTTTTTTATCAGGTTAGCTAGATCATCCTCATTTTACCACACAGAAGAGGACTGTTCTCTTAGCAAATAGAGCAGAACTCATTTACCTGCATAATACAAAGAGTTCCATAACGACAAAGATCAACACCCTCACAATCAAAGCCAATGACCAATGGCCTTTCAGGAGAGGGTTCCAGAAATTCAATGGGGAGTTGAGATGCATGGGTAACAATATGGATGGGAACCAACAATAGCTGGGCTTCATGATCCGGGCATTTATCACCTGGAAAACAGAAGATAGTAAATGTTATATAGCTGACAAAGATAAAGCGAATAAATATCAATTTCTAACCATAAACCATAAAAGTATAAAGCAATAAACATAGACATATTGGAATATATTTTCCAGTCCAGTCATCAACCTCAAATCATTATTCCAGGCTTATGGAGGGATTACATGACCAATACAATCGGCAACATTCTGGATTTATCATGCTTTAATGATGTAGATTACATGTATCGTATACTTCCTAAATCAAGGCCAGCCATTTAAGTTTCAAGTACATACTGTTTGCCACATCCAATGATCCAAAGGCCTATCAAGCATAAGCGTGTCAAACAAAGAGTGATGTTGCCTGTATATGGATCTCCTAAGGCCACTTGAGTTGCCAAATATAGTATTCTAGAGTTAGATATGTGGGTATGAGCATGTGGTTACATAAGAAATAAGAGAAGGGTAGACGGATTCAAAGATAATTAATTGCTTAGCTTTTAGCCTAACAAGTTGGAAGAAAAGTTTGTGCAGAAGATGAGCATATTTTAGGTGGAAATGGAAGTCATTTTAGGGCTGAAATACCTCCCTAAATCCAGCAAGGTTAGAGGTGGATGGGAATCCCAAGGAGGTGGTAGGGTGGATGAATGGAGTAGGATATGTTCCTATAGGGAATTAGAATTTAGATCACTAACATTATCTGAATATCTTGTTTGGATTAATTAGAAGATCAGAAAACTCCATAACAGATGAGCTGGCAAGTGGCAATGGAGGGGTCACCCAGACAGACTTGTGCACTAGACCCACCAGTGAATAGTAGGAAGGGAGATAGTCAAATTGTTTTGCAAAGGGGTTAAGATTGTAACTCCAGCCTCTTGATTTCTTCATCCTTGTACTATTATACATATTTTGTGATTAAAATTACCTGAATTGGTTATGATAAAAAAAAGATGGTGATGGCTCTAGAGATGGATCATAATAAATTTTATTATTATTAGCAGACCTGGGAAGAAGTCGACCCAACCCAACCCAAAAAATAATGGGTTTGGGTCCCCTATCTAGTGACCCAAGCTAAAAGCCAACCCAACCTGAAATCTTTTTGGGTTGAGCCGGGTCAAGTCACGGGTCACCAGTGGATAACCTCTTTTTCAAGCCAACATAGACCCAGATGGTTGAACCATTCAAACTGGGCAGTTAAACCAGAATTTTTTGTTAAAAAAAAACATTGACTAGGTCAAGACTAACTGACCCATGTGGTTGAACCGTTGACCTGTCTGACATGTGGATTAACCCTAACCTGAATATTTAGGGTTAGGATCTAGTCTTTTCCAACCCAACCTGAAATGACCTGAACTTTCCTTGACCCAAACCAAACCCGGCCCAACCCAATTGCCAGTTCTAATTATTAGAAAAAAGAAGCAGCTATCCTAGGAGAGATCTCTCTTAAGACTCAAAATCATTTTTTAAGATAAAATAAAAATTATTAAAGCAAAAAGAATGAACCAAGAAAGGAGACAAGCAGTCATCCACAAGAAATACAACCAACAAAGAAAAAACAGCCACTTTCTACAAAAAAAAAGACACCAATCTCAGCCTCAACCAACGTCCAACTCCAAGGGAAGACAAAGTATAAAGACAAGGGTATAGGTCTTTTAAAGGTAACTTTGCCACCCAAAGGCCAAAACTTAACTTTGTTACCCAAACAAACATCATACATGATACAAGGAAGGAAAGGAAGAGTGGTAGAATGGAGTGAATAGCATTCCAAGGTGAAGCTCGAGTGGTCCTTGCAGATAGTCTAGCATCCCATCATTATCCACCTGCCCATGAATAGTTACCACTGCCATATGCCACAACTTCTCCCCCTTCTAAAGGTAATCTCCATAACCATTTCCCAAACAAGGCTTGGTTTCTCAACTCTAGGCTTCCTAAACCCAACCCTCCTTGCCTTTTGTTTCTATAAATAATAGAGGTAAGGAGATTTTTTTTGATATATAACAGAAAGTATTTCATTAATATAAACAAGCATATACATAGGATTACAACCAGGGTCTGGGTACCCCTAAAAGCATATGGAACAACACAAACCAATAGACACTCCCTACACATTAACATACAAAACTCCCTGCCCTTCCCTTACCCACAGGAGCAGTTGCACACTCATTACACCTTAAAACAACTTGGTCCAAAATAATTGTTCCCTTTCAACCCCTTGCCTTGCTAGAGAGTCTTCCATCCCATTAGCAACCCTTGGAACCCATTGAAAAGTTACTATTACACCTCTCAGATGCCACTTGATCTTCTTTACCAAATCTCGATAGCTCCAAGCTACCTTCTTTTCATTCTTTAACAAACTTACCACTACTTAGGAGTCTCCTTCTATTAACAGCCTTCTTAAATTTAGATTTTTTGCTAATTGGACCCCATACAATACAGTAGACAATTCAGCCTTAGTTGAATCTCCTTGGGCAATAGGACCCGAAAATATTGCTAAGATAGTTCCATCTTTATCCCTGAATACCCCTCCTATGCCTCAAGAGCCTGCCGAAACAGCTTCCATCAAAATTAAGTTTTACAAAGCTTTCTGGTGGTGGTTCCCAAAGCTGACTCTTCTAGTCTTTCTTGTAAACGGAAAGGCCACTTCTCTCTAATTCATTTTTATGCTCTCAAAGGAAAATGGAGAAAACAGATCCAAGGTCTTAACCCAATGAATCACCCTTAGGAGGATATGGTCTAAAATTGCTTCCAGGTTTCTCTCCTCATCTTTGAAGAGTCTCGCATTTCTTTCTTCCTACACTGTCCAAACGACAGCAGCCAGCCAGCCCTAGTGCATCTCCATAAAATTCTTCCTCTTTTCCTTGGCCACCTAAAAAATTCACCTACAAACAGACTAGGTAAGCTTGTAGGTAGAGTCCACCTGCACCCAAAGAGGTCAAAGAACCACTCCCAAGTAGAGGTTACTAACAGACGGGAAATTAGAATGTGAAAAGCAGTCCCACCATTAGCCTTACAGAGTGTGCACCAGTTAGGTGATGAACAAACATTTTTTTCCTTCTCTTTAGCAACATGCCCAAGGTGTTGATTTTTCCATGATAGACCTCCCGACAAAAAGCCTCTACTTTTAAGGGGAATGGTTTGCACCAAACCTCACTGACTAGAAAAGAAGGCCCTAAAGGAGCTTGAGCAATCAAAGAACAAAAAGAGGTGGCACAAGAGAAAGAACCTTTAGGGTCTAGGATCCAAATTCTTTCATCTAGGGGTGGAGGAGAACATAACAACTGAATCAAGGATGAGCATCAAATCAGAGATTGATGCACATTCAGCCTCTCTTAAACCACTTCTAAAACCCAATTCCAAGACACTCCCTCATAAATGGAATAGAGAGAAGAAATTGGCTCATTTTTAAACAAAGATAGCGAATATAAAGATGGGAAGGCATTTTTAAGAGTATAATCACCCACCCAAAGGTCCTCCCAAAACCGAATTTTAGATCCTGAATAAGAATCATACCTGATTTGCTTGAGGAAGCAAGGAAGAACTGCCATGAATTGCTTTCCAAGGGGAGGAAAGAGTAACTCTGTTTGAGACTCTAGCATTCCAACCATTTTGAAACAGTCCATGTAAGCTATTACCTTGTGCCACAGTTTCTCACTCTCCAAGGGGAATCTCCACAACCATTTCCCTAGCAATGCTTGATTCTTACAAAACATGTCCCCCACCAGCCCACCCCTAATCCACCTTCCTCCTTACTCCTGGTCACTACTTCCCACTTCGCTAGATGATCCCCCTTTCTTCTCTAGGTTCTCAAAGAAAATCCCTCATTACCTTTTCCAACAAGTTAGCCACTTTTTGGGGTATCTTAAAGACAAAGAGGTAATACACCAGAAGGTTTGCCAAGGTGGACTTGATCAAGGTAAACCTACCACCTAAAGAGATGTAATTCCACTTCCAAGATGCTAACCTCTTTTCAAACCTTTCTATAATTGGAGTCCAAAAATTCACACTCCTCAAATTTCCCCCCAAAGGCAGACCTAAGTACTTCAAAGGCCACTCACTAGTTTGAAAACCTAGAGTCTCCGCGATTGCTTCTACCTCCCCCAGGGTTTTAAAAGCGCAAGGCGCAAGGCAAGGCGCGCCCCTTTTTGAGGCAAAGCTCACAATTTAAAAAAAAATGCAAAAAATTCAAAAAAAAATATAAAACATAATATTAATAAAAATATTAACTTAAGTTTTAAAACAAATGCTTTAAAAAACCTATTATCTAAAATTAAAATACATAAATATAATATGTAAAGCATATTCAAATGAGAATTTAAAATTGAAATCAAACATATAAAACCCACAATCTCTTTTTTTTCTCAATTGCATCAAGTAGCTAATGTGATATATTACATTCCTAATTCTGCGAGCCGCCTTTGTGCCACGCCCCTCGAGGCAAGCCCAAACAAGTCCATGTTAGGGTCTTAAATTCTTAGATTTCACACAAAAAATAATTCACTCGCTCACCGAAGCTTCAAGAACCCCCTATTTGGTAATGTTGTCCATTCATTCATCTCAACAAAATATCTTCTTAAAAGCAATTTAAACTATAAAATTATTATTTTTTGTGTGAAATCTAAAAATTTAAGACCCTAACATGGACTTGTTTGGGCTGGCCTCGAGGGGCGTGGCACGAGGGTCCGGGGGTGGAGCCCCCGGCCCAGTGGCCAGACTCAAGAAAAGGGAAAAAGCAGCAAATTTTCAAAAGGCGCACGCCTGGGCTAAGGCACAAGGCGCACTAGGTGCACCAAGCGTGCGCCTTTTGAATGGGCTACGCCTAGGACCTGGGCGAGGCGCCTACCCTAAAATGCACCTCGCTTGAGTGTCTAGGCGCGCCTTTTAAATCACTGACCTACCCCTCATCTAAGTTTAGCCCTACTACACAACTTTTTTCAAGATTGATCTTCAAACTAGAAATCTTTTCAAAGAGGTTTAGTATCAATCTTAGCCTTCTCACCTGTTGCAAATTGAAA